AATAAAACCAGGTCTTATATTAATTTTTGCTCCAAAAGACACATTAGGGCATATTTTCAGGGGAGGTCTTATTTTTGTTGTTGCAGCAGACACACTAAACGCTCCCATCTGCCTGACAATCTTAACTGGGGCTTATTTGGGGGGATAGGGCTTATACTACAAGCATCCTGACAAATTAGGCTAGGGCTTATTTTCCGGTTGGGTCTTATTTTCAGGGAAATGTCCTAGTAGCTTCTTCTGTTAAAGCAGGGGCATCCAACCTTGGGAACCTTTAAGAGACTTCAACAAATTCTCCAAACCAGCAGAGCTAAAACCACTAATTACCATGTTTCCCCCAAAATAAGACATTCTCTTATTTTATTTTTTTGCCATCAGGTCTTATTTTTAGGGGATGTGATCCACTGACTAACCTCACTTGCGCGCATCGCCCCCGGCCTCCTTTTTGCTATCAGAGGCCTTCAGGAACTTCTTCTGTGTCCAGCAAGGCTTTCCTGAAGGCCTCTGCAGTGGATAAGAGAGCTCTGGATCGATCCAGAGCTTTGTTCTCAGCTCCAGAGGCCTTCAGGAAAGCCTGGCCAGCTGCAGAAAAAACGGGCCAGCCAGGCAGGTGTCGGGGCATGCGAGGCCTGACTACACCTGTCCAAAGGTAAGTAGTAGGGCAGCTCCACCCTGTCTCCACCCTGGCTTAATTTTTACCCATGCACTCTGGAGTGGGCAGGATCTTAATTAGGGCTTATTTTGGGGGGTAGGGCTTATATTGGGAGCACATGTAAAAAATCAAGCTAGGACTTACTTTCAGGGTAGATTGTATTTTAGGGGAAATGGTATTAATTTAAAAAACTAGTAAAAGCTATTTAGAAAAGGCTAAGACAAAAACATAGCAGGGGGAGGGATGTTAATAATGGAGCCCTCCCACTCGTTCCCAGTGTGACGATGGCATCAAGAGATTTTGTGGGGCCTTTGAAAGGTCACAATGTGACCACCCCAGCAGAAAAGGCCCCCCCACAAACGTAGCTCCCAAGCCCATGGGACCCACAGCCTGCCCCCCCCCACCCCCCTGCTGGATCTGGTGGGACAGGCAGATGTATTGGGGGAGAGCTGGTGCCTCGGACCACCCGGTTCCTTCCCACGTAGGGCTTTAAAGATCAAGCCCAGCATCGTGAGTTGCCCCCGGAAATAAGCTGCAAGTAGTCCTTGACTTACAACGGTTTCACTTAGTGACCATCAAAAGTTGCAGGATCACTGAAAAAGCGACCTTGGACTGTTTTTCACACTTATTGCAACCGCTGCAGCATCTCCAGAGTCACATAATCAAAATTCATACGCTTGGCAACTGACTTGTATTTATGACAGTCCCGGTGTCCTGGGGGGGGGGGTCACTTGATCCCCTTTTACGACCTTCTGACAAGCAACATCAAGGGGGAAGCCAGATTCACTTAACAGCCGTGTTATTCACTACGCAATGGCAGCCATTCACATTAACAACTGTGGCGAGGTCGTAAAATGGGGCAAAACTCCCCTAACAACCGTCTCATTTGGCAATGGAAGGGTTGGGCTCAATTGTGGTCATAACTCGAGGACTCCCTGGGATGGCAGTTGCAAATAAACACGTAAAGAAATCTCTCTGTGGCCCCCTCAGAGTCCTGTTTCTTGATGGGTTCACACGACACTCCAGTGAGGTGTCCCAAAAGGTGCTTTTCCCAAGAGGCAACCGGACTTTCTGCTTTTACCTTGGAGATATTTCACTTCTCATCCCAGAAGCTTCTTCAGCTCTGACTGGGTGCAAAGGAGCAGCTGTCTGCAAGGAGTTTCGGTCCTTCCCTTCCCCACCATCCAGTCAGAGCTGAAGAAGCTTCTGGGATGAGAAGCGAAACGTCTTCAAAGGAAAACCAGGAAGTCCAGTGAAAAAAACACCTTTCGGACAACCCTGAGCTGGAGGACGGAGAATCTCCACCGACTCTCAGCTATACAAATTGGGATGAACCCCCTTTGAGTGGTGTGGGAATAAGGAATGGATTCCTGCGGGGGGCGGGGGGGAATTGCAGGCTACAGGAACCATTTGCACCCCTCAGGTGACGTTGAGGACACAGGTAGACCTCCGGGTGGCCTCAACGGCTCTCGGGAAGGAAACTTTTCTGCAAGAGTATAAATCCAGTCAGAGCTGAAGAAGCTCCTTGGAGGAGAGGTGTAAGGTCTTCACAGAAAGAACCAGAAAGCACCCTTGGGACGGTGTCCTGGATGACTGAGAATCTCCATGGACCCTCAGGTGAGATTTGACGGGCTGTGGGTAGCAGCTCATTACCTGAGAGTGTTTCAGCCTCATTGACCCCAGGTTTAATGACCCGGGCAGTCCTGGATAAATCTTTATGGGCCCTCCAGGGTTACTTTCGTCACCAAACGGTGGGCTGCTGGATTCACACACGACCTACAACAGGGTGAGTCTCCCTGCCTCTCCTGGTAAGCCTTGTCTTGGGAGGGGGGGGCTGGAGGTCCTTGGAGGGGGCTGTTGTGGTCGGTCAGGTTCTTCGTCTTGGTTATAATCTGCTTTTTATTTCTTTTGTTGGTGGGGTTTTCAACCGTCGGTGCCTTTAATTCCTTGTGCTGCAGGGTGAGCCCCCCAATTAAAGTTGACTTAAATAAAACGACCTGGAGCGTTTCGCAGGAGCGTGTGAACGGGCTCCTTTCCAGGCCGGGCTGAGCCAATGCCCGGGGGACGAGGGACAATCCATACGGGCCGCTCCGAGCAGCATTCCAAAACTCCCAAGGGAAACGGGGAAGAGGGGCAGAGATGGGAGCAGGTGCGCAAAACAAGAGAGGGCAGGTAGACCCCGACTTACGCCCACAACGGAGCGCAGAATTTCTGCTGCTACGCAAGACAGCCATTGGGCGAGTTTTGCACCACTTGACAAACTTTTTTTGCCACAGTTGTTACTAACACCCTTGTAAAGCGAATCTGGCTTCCCCATTGACCCCGGGGCACTGCGACCGTCATAAATAGGGGGTCAAGCATTCGAATACTGACCACGTCGTTGTGGGGATGCTGCAACGGTCATTAAGTGTGGGAAAACAGTCCTAAATCATTTTTTTCAGTGCCGTTTCGGTCCCTAAATGAACTGTTGTTAAGTCAAGGACTTCCTGCACTTTAAAGTGAATTAATTTCCTAGTTCCAGTACGCTTACCTGGGGCTTCCTTGGGGCTTCTAATATCACTTGTACACCCAATTTTCTTTTGCATGTTTTCCTTCCTTTGGACGAGGCAAAATTCCATTTCGCTCCTTTCCCGGTTTATTCAACGACGATACTGTTGAATACCCAAGAGCTCTTAGCCCAAACGCCATAACCTCGAAATGGTGACCTTTGACCACCGTTTGCCCTGCCGGCTGCCTTAAGAGGCTTTATTTATTTCTGATGGTCTCTGGGTGCCCTCTAGTGGCATCGAACACCCGGGTGCTGCGACCCTCCAGGCTCCACTGTAAACAAACCATGGTTGTTTCCACCAGGATGTGGGAACCAAGATTCTCGGTCTGGGTGGCAGGATGCGCCTCAATTGGTGTTTCTGGAAAACACTCAACCCTCGAGTGACCTAACAATCCAGCTGGCTTGGCTACCCTCGCCAAAGAATGGTCTCAACCGGGCTCACACCACTCAAACCTGGACTTAAGGAGAAACTGACTGACCGTGAGAACAATGAACAGCGGAAACAACGTCTCTCCAGAAATCTTGGGTGCCGCAACAACGGAGGCTTTTAAGAAGAGACCGGGCAGCCACTTGTGCCCTGGAACGATATAGGGCAGGGGTCTCCAACCTTGGCCACTTTAAGAATTCTGGGAATTGAAGTCCACAAGTCTTAAAAGCTGCCAAGTTTGGAGACCCCGATATAGGGTCTCCTGCTTGAGCAGGGGGGTTGGACTAGAAGACCTCCAAAGTCCCTTCCAGTTTTATCCTGATTGACTGAAGCCCAGCACGTTGTGTTTACACAGCTGGTAATTCAACTCAAAGGGGGGGGGGGGGGGGGGGGGGGGGGGCAACAGAACTCCAGAGGCTCCTGGCCATCAGGCTCTGCCAATGCCCGGATGGGGTCTCCATACCCCCAACCTCTGAGTCATCCTGGGGGATGCTTGCCAGCTGGAAGGAAGGCAGCACCCTGGTGGGCTCGCCCACCCTGGTCCACACAAGGCCAGAGAGAGAGCAGGGCTGCCTGGGCAGATTCAGGCCCTGCCAAGTGTGGCCCCCTCCCCCCAAACCCCCTTTAATATCAGCCAGTTTGGTCTGGCACTAGGCTAGAAAGCTGGAGGGTGAGGTCTAGTCCCGCCTTAGGCATGAAAGCTGGGTGGGTAACTTTGGGCCAGGCACCAGGAGACGGGGAGTTCTAGTTCCCCCTTGAAGGCCAGCTGGGTGACTTTGGGCCAAT